AGGAACTATGTCTGTCCCAGTGCAGAAGGCACGGCAGCAGACCAACTTCTGACAGCAAGGAAAAGGACAGTTGACAAGGCTCCACAGACAGAGTGCACAGAAGGGCAGAAGTGGATCAGGCTATGCCTTAGTTAGTAGGGTTTCAGTTGCTGTGAAGAGACCCATGGGCTTGGCAACTCTTTATAAGGGAAAACATTTAATTGGGGCTCTCTTATAATGTCAGAGGTTTAGTTCTCATGGTGGGAAACAAACATAGTGGTGTTCCGGCAGACAGGATGCTGATGCAGGGGTTGAAACATAGTGGTGTGCAAGCAGACAGGATGCTGATGAAGGGGTTAAAGGTTCTACATCTTGATCTACAGGCAGCAAGAGGTGGACTAACTTGAGCTTCTGAGACATCAAAGCCCACCCCCACACATACCTCCTCTGACAAAGCCTCAACTCCTAATAGTGCCAAACATTATGGGCCTATGGGGGTCATTTTCTTCAAACCACCATAGGCTATAACTCTCCAAGGTCTGCCTCCAGTGAATGCATCCATCAGACAGGTTCCATATCCCCAGATACACAATTTCCCTAAACAAAGCCACCAGCTGGGCAACTAGTGTTCAAATATATGAGCCTGTGGGGGAAAGTTCATTTCACATTCAACCCAGAATGCCTGTACAATCTCTAAAGCACCATTTGAGTGCAATTAATAAATATGGTCTCTATGAATCTAGACACAAGTCAAATGATGACCAGACAGGCAGGTGACAATTGAGAATGTTGAGAGAGAGGTGGAAGGAAAAGCTAGCAAAATAAGGAATGGAGAAATAAAACCTTTAAGACTTTAAAAGAATTAAACGTCAGTTGGGAAGGTCAAATGAAAATAATCAAAACCTCAAAAACATAAAACAGAACAAAAAGCCACAAAAAATTATGAGACAATAGCCTAAAATTCAAAAACTGTAATTTAGAGATCAATAAGTGTAACTATGGTGGAGAATTTCTCATATTTATATTTCTAAGCAAAATACTTTGCATGAGAAATTCATTTTTGTCTTTGCAGCAATAACTAAATAAATGAGGGTTTATATCCCACTGAGATATTGAAGAACATTTCAGTGATATTGTTTTAAATTTGTCTCTGGTCATGCGACAAATCTTTGGCAGGAGTGGACTCTGGGCATGCATTGACTTGACACCAGGTTTTTGCTGTTATTTTGTTTCGAGACAGGTTTTCTCTGTGTAGCCCTGGCTGTCCTGGAACTCACTCTGTAGATCAGACTGGCCTCGAACTCACAGAGATCCGCCTGACTCTGCCTCCTGAGCACTGGTCTTAAAGACGTGTGCCGCCAGGCCAGGCTCTGTCACAAGTTCTGAATAGCTAAAATAAAGGGAGGGCTACCTGAGAAGAAAGAGGTAAATTGAAAACTTGCCGTTTCTCACAAAAAGTCAGGATCATATATGTAAGGCCGAACTTTCCACAGACAAAAGGCCTATATCTGGAGAATAAAATAACTCATTATAAAACAGAAAAATAATTAATGAAAAGAAATGAATTCATTTTCTGAAAATACTTTTCAACTTAATTGGTAAAGAATCCTGCATCAGGCAATAAATCTAAAGAGCTTGTATACACCCGGTATCAGCATTATTTTAGTCAAATAAATGTGATTCTAAAGAGGAAAATTAATTAAAATACTAAAATCTCAACCAAAGTCACCTCAGTTATGCCAAAGGAGGGATGCTTTCCCAAGTGACAGCAAGGCTTATTGGAGTGATGATGTCTGCTTCAAAAAGTGGTTGCCACCCTCCAGTCTGCCCACCTCTCCCACTGCCACCCAGTCCAGCCTTGGGGTCAACCCTGCCATCTCCTCATCTCACTTTCTAGTCTTTACTTTCTTTACTCTGGAGTTCTCTGTCCTGGGTAATTACCCAAGGTGACTCAAGGTGCTCGATGCACGGGCTCCTCTCCACCACTGTTCTGTGTCTGCATCAGCAAAGCTCTACGGTAAACCTGGAGCTGTCTTTTTTCCCTAAGATCCCATCTGTGCTTGTGCTTGCCCGCCCGTTCGAGCTGTGAGCAGCACACACACCTTCCGGGGACACGTCAATGAGTCCTCAGCCTACAATGGCAGAAATAGAAGGTCAGAGAAAGAGAGGGCTAGAGAAATGGCTTAGTGGGTGAAGCACTTGCCGTGCAAGCAAGGACCTGAGTTCCAGTCCCCTGAATCACTGGTCCAGAGGATCAGAATCTCCAAGCTAAATGGCAGGTAGCATGGCAGAAAGCAAGGCAGAAAGCATCTTGGAAATGCTTCTCCACCCTCAGTATCTGACTCACTTATACCCTAAATATAAATTTGTTATTTCAAGAAGGTATTTACTGTTGACCTACCTAACACCAACAAATACTAATTTGCCTGGAATAGAAAATACGGTTTTTAATTTTTAAATATCTCATAGAAAAATGAAAGTATTATATCAACTAATATCTCTTAAGGTTTTTTTAATAGAGAAAATTTAAATAAAAATGGCAAAATTTGAGAGTTCTATATGATATAAGAAAAAATCAAGAATTCTTTACGAATAGAGAGAAATTTCAGAGATAAAAATGTGACACACACTCTAGAAAAACTGCCACGGAGCCTCCTTAGGCCACATCTCAAAAAACAGGCTAGCTAACAAATACCCAGTGTTTCCAGCAAGCAAATCAACATAAATTAAAACAGTACTGTCCTACTTTATTCTCAAATTTGAAAATATTTAGAAAAAAACATAAAACACAGTGACTAAGATGAAATGAACTAAAAATTCTTGTGTTCTGTTTGCTGGTAGAAGTATAACTTGTAAAGACTTTGTGGAGTGATGGCCCCCAAATCCCTACTCATTTGTGGAAAATGTCACCAAATCTTAAGCACTGTGTGCATGGCGCACAGACTCTGACAGCTCTAATTTATATGTGTGGTAAGCATCGCTTTATGTGTTCTGCACAAGCATGGAGTTACTTTCTCTGGTGTTTATTAACATAAAAGGGATCTGAAGCCCAGAGAGAGGAACTGACGTGTCCCGCTTGCAACAGCTGAGAACTGATCACTGCCCGTTAATATTCTTCAGGGTATATATTACTTTTCTATTTCATAGGTTAAAAGGGACATGAGAAAAGGATCCAGAGGTTGCTGAAAGTCCCTTTATCAATTGCTTTTCTCGCTGCTGTGAAAAAAATAGTTGATAAAAGCAACTTGTGAAAGAAAGGGTTGATCTGGTTCACGGTTTGAGCAGAAGCAGTCCATCACAGCAGGGATGGTGGTGGGAGTGGGAAGGAGGTGGACAGACCACGGGAAAGACAGACTAAGCTTAATCATATGTCCACTGGTAAGAAAGTTAGCAAAAATCCTGCACAGTGGATTCATCTCCCTCTGTGGGATGCAGTCTACACTATGAAGCCAACAAGCGAGTGGGATGCAAAGGGGACATTCACATGGGGAATTTGAAAAAATAGACTACAAGAAGTAATGTACAGAAATGGAGGAGGGCCTAGTGCTGCTATAGAAATAAGGTGGGCCTGTTGCTTCTTGGAAACTGTCAGTGGTAAACTGCTTGACAGCTTCCAGGTTTTAGCCGATTGTGCAGCGTGGAAAAATGTCAGCAGGGGACTTTGTCAGGCTGAGCTTCCATCAGGACGTGTTGGAGAGAGGAAGGTAGTGGAAAACATGTTTTTATAGAAAATTTGGCTGTGGGATGATGAACTGGCTCAGCGGATAAAGGCACTTGTCACCAAGCCTGAGGCCCTGAGTTCAAGTCCCGGGACACGCATGGTGGAAGGCAAGAATAACGTCTAGGTGTTTTTGATATCAACATGTGCACTGTGGCCTGCGTGCTCATACAAATATACCCACATAAACAAATGTAATTTAAAAAATTGGGGATAGGCAGGCATTTAGTCTATCCATAAAACTTCTAAAGAAGGGGGTCACGGCTTGGGATCATTGATAAACAAGCTGGAATGAGGGAAGGCGCTCAAGGAGATGCTCGTATCTACGTGATGACTCTGGTCACAAATATTTCAAGAGAGGAGAGCTTTTCCTGCCACGTTTGCTGTCTTAACCTCTTGGGGACAAAGGCCTCTGTTCGGCTTTCTAGTTAAATCTGCTGTAACATTTCCAAATGTTGAAAAGTGCTCTTTCTACACACATGGGTTTTGGTGTGAGATTTGTCAGTGAGGTGTGTGGGTGTATTCTCTTCTAATCCTTCTTCATGGCTAGCTGCACTGTGAAAAATTGATTCCCCGATTTGCCAGGCAAATGGCTGGGGCTACAACCCCCCTCCACCTTGAGATAATTAGGTTTAATCACCAATTTTACAATAAATCATGGCTCTGTGAACTTGAGCTAGTCCCAAAGAGTAAAGTTTTACATGGTAAAATATGCAAAATGGTCAGATACATATTTGTGCTTGGATATAAATATTTTATATATGTATGTGTATGATTTAAATTTGTATGCATGCATATGTGTATGGCCTTCAAAAGGCATTTAGGAAATATTCACAGGTTATGACTAATATGGCCTAGTCCTTAGAGGAAGGGGAGAAGATGGACCTCTCAGTGGACCTATGCACTAGAAGCTGTGTGCTTTGTAGACTTACTGCTTTTATCCTAGGTAGTTAGACACAGGATTTAGCACATTACGTGGAAATTTTCTTGTTATTTTTTCTTCTTATTTCCGTGTTTTGAAGCAGAGTATAGCTGTATAGCCTAGGCTAGCCTCATTCTTACAATGTAACCTGGGCTGGCCTTGAACTCATTATTCTTCTGTCTTAGCTTTCCAAGCTCTGTGCTTCACATTCCTGTGAATGTGTCAGTACAGTGTGTGTTCCTTATTCTTGTTTGTCACTGGGCAAAAACATGTATATTCAATGTATTTGGGGGGATACAGTGTGAAAAACATTTTGTTATTCCAAATCAAAACAAAGGAAAGTGTAAGGTAAGACGGACCCTACTCAGTAGTCTCTCTTACCTGTGTGAGTGCTGGTGTCATTGAACCCAACACAGGCAGAGGGTATGTGGGCCTGGGGCTTATCCTCACTGTAGGCTTTTAGAATGTACTTCTCCCGGACACCTTTAGCCACAGCGGGTTCATCCCAGGCCACTTCTATGCTATATCCATTTATGCTCTGGGCTCTTGAGGGAGTTGGCACACTCTGTGGAGCTAGGAAAGAAGAAAGAAGAAAGGGAGAGCTAGCGCCGGGCTGGGGAGATGATGGTTCCTATTCTTCACTTTTAATGGCAGCCGTAAATCAGACTCGACCATTAGCATAAATACAATTTATTAGAGTTGTAACTTTTCAGCATTGATTTAATATGACCGCACCTCTCGAGCCATTCAGTTTAAGCTATATTTCACAACCATCAAAACTCCATCGACATAACGTTCTTTGAAGTTGAGACCAGGTTTTCTGAAAACATTGAATGTACCCGACGTGTTTAAGTGACACTCATCAGGAAGGAGGCGCTTGGTAGGCAGGTAACAAGGTGAAGCAATATAATGGTGTACCACTTTGGAGAAAGGCAATTAGGCTGTTATTACATACGGTGAGCTGACACTTTTACACCTTCCATATAGCCAAGAAAAGGGGGGGGGAACCACACACGTGATTGTGTATAATACTTGAATGGCTGTTTCCAAATCCGATTGTTTTTTAAATGGTGTTCAAAAAACACAGCTCCAGCAGTGATGATATATAGGGCACACTTTTAATTGCATTTGGGGGGTTAAGGGAGTTAGTGCCTGGATGGCTTTCAAAATCAGTTTTAGGGACAGTCTGTTCAGTATCTCTCAGAACAAAATGTGAATACTTGGAGGAAGTATAAAAGACCTCGCAAGCTGAGTCCCAATTTCAAAAATCCGTAACCTTAACTATTTATTAGATATTTGCACAGCTCTGATTAGTAACAACTTCATCACAGCTGACTGCACTGGGGACACAAAGAAAGAGCCCAAGAAAGTGTGTGGCAGGATGATGGATGAGAGTCTGCTCTAACTGCGCCTGGGCTTCTGAGCCCCATCAATGAATGGCGAAGACAGCGGGAGACAGCAGGGTTTCCCACATCAAATAGTCTTCTCCCTGACTTTACCGTTCAGACCAATGCAGCAGGACAGCTTGAAGGGAAACAAAGTGAACATTAAGGATGAGAGGAGACACAGAGAATAGCACTCTCTGTGCACTTAAGACACTACAGGCATCTACGAAAAACAGGACACAGAACCAACTTGCCAGGAAAGAGACAAGTGGAGAGATGCTGATTTTATTAGCTCTGCAATGTGGTGCAAGGCAAATGTGGTGCACTGTCTACCAGATGGTCTTCTCATAAGGGACAAGCAAAACCAACTCAAAAATAATTAAATAGTGCAGTTATTCTCCGGCCCTCGGGAGCTGCGTGGTGTTGTGGTCGGATTGCAAATGTGAATTGATGACATAGGATGCAGGGGTCAGACCATGGCTGTGCCTTCCGAGCTCCACAGTGGGTCAAGCTGGAGAGTAAGCTACGTCCATACTTTCTAGATACCCACTAAACTGTCTAAAAGCAGGCTTTTAGAGCATATTTGCTAAGAACCTGGTGGATTATTAAACAGAGATAGAAACATTCCAGTTCCTAATGGCTATTTTATTCTGAGCTTCCTGCCTATTTTGAGCTTGAGGGGAGTTTTAAGGGGATGTTCATCTCCATCTTGTGTATAAGTTACTTAAGTCAATTTAGGATATTCTCCCATCATCCTCCCTGGAAAATTTATAGGCAGCGAGCCTTGAAAGTTATTGTTAGCGATATATCTCAGTATTTCACATCCTTAAAATGAAGGTCCCTTTAAGGGTACCTTGGACAGTAACCATTATTGAGAAATATAAAATAACGCCATGGTGTAAAGCCTGTTTCTGACCAACTGTTACTGGCTGGAGAAACTGTTTTCAGGGACAACAGCCAGCATTATGTGCTAGACTCCCTGACACATATTAGTCTGCTTTGAGGGAATACTACTGTCTACCAAACTCTTCGCCATCAATAGTTCCCAGCCATGCTTCCCCAGAGAGGACTGTGCCACCACAGCCATGAGTACAAAACACCTGTTGCTCGGCTGCCTGAGATCTGCTCTATCATGTCTCCTCATTGCTCCTCTCCTGAGCTGAAACCATTAAACTAACAGGAAACTTCTTGCCCGGGAGGTCCATCCTACGATGTCATTGCTTGCCCCCATGACAAATGTCTTCTATGACATGGCAAAGAGATGCACCCGATTCTAACCAAGCAGGGATTTTGAAAGCATTGTCTGTGAGGCTCAAGATGATACCTTCTACCTAATGATACCCTCATGTCTGTCTTTTGCCTTTTGGGATACAAACAACTGGCAGAGGTTTCTCACTCTGCAACAGGATGGTGGCACCTATTAAATTCATAAGTACCCCACTTTCCTTTCTCTGCATCTAAAGGGGTGAGAAAAAGCCTTAGCAGGCATTTGGTTAACTCTTACAAACTCAAATGCAGTGGTATACTGTGTTTTTCCACAGCTATTTTCAAACCCAAATGGTGTTGCTTCAGGACACTGTTTATAGGCACGTGCAAACACATATGTATGCACAATTACATTCGAAAATCAGCAGATGTTACCTGTGCCTGACTCCAGTCGCTAGACACAGAACCTCCTTCATGGGAGGCTATGAACCTATACAGGTATTCTTAAAGGGAAACAAGTAGAAAGTGGAAAACCAGCTTCCTACAGACTCACAGTAGGCTGTCAGCTAGGGAAAAGAAAGCATTTCATTTAGAGACCACCACATTACCTGTAAAGGTTTGGAGCCTGCTCTCATAAATACTCTGCCGGCTTCCCCAGTAAACCAGGATGGAGTCATTTCCCCCACAGTTAACAGCACTGTCACTTGACGGGCATCCGTCCTGATTCACTGTGACAGCACGGCTGGACACAGATGCCAAGTTAACGACAGCACCCCGTGCAAATGCGACTGCCTTCATGCAACCGCGGAACCCGCGCAAACAGAAAGGGATTCGTGTCACGGGAAGGGCTTGGGTCATTAATGACCAACTGTTTGTGTACTCTGCAGCTCTACCTCTGGGGGAGGGTTTCGTTAGGGACAAGGATTAAACTTTCAAGCTTTGTTTGAGAAATCTTTATGGCTCTTACTTATCATCCGACTTAACAGTTGCAGAGATGTATTTATAGAAATCATTTTGAAGAGCTGCATATGCGTAGATAACGATGATCCTGCCTTGACACTGACACAAAATGTCCTCTGCCTATGTCGGCCTACAGTTTCTAAGTTCCTTCAGCCAGAAAGTAAGATTTAAACATTCACCACAGGCTAGAGAGGAGTCTCCATGTGCTCAGTCAGCACTGGAAAGTTGTTAGTATGAGTCAGTAGTTACCCTTGGATCTGTATGGCGTGGGAAGAAGAGTGTGAGGAGTTTACGTTGGGCAGCAGCAGAGAGATCACTGTTTCTCGTGTACTGGGATCCCCAGACATCAACATGAGCTGTATGATTATTATTTTACACATCTGGAATGTGGTCCCGCTCACCCCCAGAAAAGGACAAGGGTACTGTGCTCTGCCATTTTTCTGGGCCCCGTCATCCTGGCTATACACGGTGAATGTGCGCTGGATTCACACCCACACTGACAAAGCCTGCCAGTCAGTGTCAGCCACACTCACCCCAGAAACGTCACAGAATGTATGTTCTACAGGCTGAGCTTGAAACACTGACTGCCACCGCCAGAGCATGTGAACAAATGCATTCCTAGGTTTCACTGTGTGTCCACCAGAGAACAAACATAGACAAACATCTGGTCAACCAAGCAATGGTAGTTTCTCTGAAAATGCATGGACAGACAGAGGGAGCTCAGTTCCACAAAGTCTGGCAAGACAATGTTCAGAAATATGCACCAGGTTAGGATGATTGAGGCTGAGCCTGGACTGCAGTAGGAATCCCCTCACAGACATTCCCCTTCTTTCTGTGCCATGCACTGTCAGATTTGCAAGGTCCAGGTACACTATGAGCATTCCTAAAGATTAAAATGGCCAAACTGCTCTCTTCAGTGCTTAGCTGATTTCTGATTATTTTTTTCTCTCATGTTAAGCTACAGACTACTTCCCGTTAAGCACCTTTGGCTATTATTGCAATTCCTTCAGGCCTGACTAATCAATACTGCCAGTCTAGCTTCAATACATGGAAGACAATTCAGTTGGTTGGGCTGAACTTGAAGCATTGAGGCTAAGTATACAACGTGTTTGCTGGAAAATTCAGAACCAAAGTATTCAGTTATCACAGCAGTCACTTTTCTGATGGTACCTGCAAGGATTGGCTCACCTCTCTGCACCCAATCTTCCCTCCCCACTAAATGAGGGCAAAGGAAAGGCCACTTTCACGGTGTCTATGCTGCTCTGAGAAGTCAACACTATTCCGGGGCTCCTGGTTGTCAAAGCCAAGCTCTAGAGGTGGGATGGGGATGTGTCTGCATGGCTGCTGGTTCACAATGCCACTGAGAGGTCCACGTGGAATGGTCCACTCAAAGGTCACAAGACCTCTGGGGCGGCGGGGGGGGGTTCAGACCAGTTAAATGCTTCCTTTGCAGTTCTGAGGACCCAAGTTCTAGCCTCGGACACCAATTATGAATGGTGTGCATTATCAGACCTTGATGGTGAGACCCAGCTGCTGAAGAGACCACAGACTTGGATCACAGTCCTTGCTCCTGAGTTTTCATAGTGCTGAAAGATGAGATGTAGCTTTGTAGTGGAGAAAAGTCACCCACCATCTCTCCAAGCTGTGAACTTTGCAAGCTATAATAATGATAGACCGGGCAAGTCATGTTGATGGCTACGATAGTGGCATGATTATTATGGGAACAGCCAATTGTTTTGTTATTGGATTTAAGACCAGTTACAGAGGAGGAAATGCATGCCTGGAACTACAAGCCTGGCCCAGAACCCATGGCTAGGAAGAACACAGGCCCAAAGTATGAATCTACTACTACTATTTTGCTGATATATATGTAGCATCCAATTTTTCTTTAAATTTATGATTCTGCCCATATATTACCAGCTCCAATATCTCAGCAGAGAAACTTCTTTGTGTGGTGATTAATGTCGAAATTCACAACCAGTCAAAGCACAAAGGAAAAAATGGCTATGGAAGGCTCAGCCATAATTGGGACCTTCATATCATAGTCTTTACCCACGGGTCAGGGAGCATCATGGAAGGAGGGGTGGGAAGACTGTAAGGGCAAGAGGTCAGGGAGGACCACAGAAAACATTCTGAACAGGAGAGCACAGGACCAACGTGTGCATGAACTCTAACAGATGTGTTTACCTGCAAAAGACCTGTACAAGGTCAAGCTAGTGCACACTCTAACAAGGAGCAAGGCTCCCGTGTCTCCACCTCTAGCTGAGCAGCTGTTGACAAGTGATGGCCAAGAGATGGAAAATCACCTTCCTTTAGGGGAATGGTACCTGCTTGGTAGACTGTTCTCCAGTAAATGGATTCTTACCATCTCTGTATAGGCTGCACAAATTGGACTTAGCGAATTATTAAAATAAAATAAAAGACGGCAAAAGACTGCAAGGTGGAGAATGGATTCCTAGGTGCTAGAGGACGGGAGTTGGTGTCAAATGATCAAAATACATTAGGTCCATGTATAAATTTTATAAAGATTGAATACAAATGTCATATTACAAATGTTTGAATGCTGGACATTTCCGCTAATGTTTGGAACCCCAGTGTTGGGGAGGTGGAGACAGCAGATCCCTGGTGTTTTCTGGTCAGCCAATCTTGCCAACCAGAGAGACCCAGGCAAGGAAGAGCTCTGACCCCAAAATAAGTGAATAAACAAATAGATAGGTATACACTACCCAAGGAACAAAAGCAAAAGTTGAATTCTGGCCGCCATATGCAAAGGCATATACATCACAGGCAGACACAATGTGTACCTGGACATACATGCACACACACAAACATAGATATACATTGAAACTGGTGGTAAGTGAAAGTAGCAAGTTCATTGCGTTTCACTAAAATTTTCACAATTTGTTAAAAAATCTAATGACTTGGGAATCAATCATAGATTTTTAAAGTGTGGGAAGGCCACAGATATGGTAACTGCCTGCCATTTGGCACATCAGGGAAGTCTGGAGGTTTCACAGGCATCAGCTGCTGAAGGTTCCAGCCTGCAGGTGGCGCTGATGAGTTCGCCTGTGGGGTCACCTTGGTGGTTTCCTTCAGGTGCAATGACACCATAATATGAATTCTGTGTCACCAAACACCCCCAAAGCTATTTTCAAACTCGGATGAATATGACGATAAAAAGCCTAGAAAGGGATTGCTTTAGGCAGGACTGAAGCCTCTTTCTGCCTTTGTACAAAACAACAAAATTCCCTTGACCCTTCTTCCACTTTCCCATCACCCAACACTCTGAATATCTAGAAGGTGACCGAAGTGTCTAAGTGGGAGGAGAGCAGCAGCGGGGTGTGTGAGGTGACAGGCATGCAGGGTGGGTTTGCCCAGTTCCTGTCTCCCAGGAATTTTAGGCGGAGCACACACCATGGCATTGTGTGCCTTGGGCCAGTTCTAGCTGGCCTGGATGTGAGTGCACGTCCTATGTGATGATTCCAAGCAGACAAATTCCCACAACCCTTTGAGAGGTGGTACAATTTTAGCAAGCAAAATCCCAAGAACTTGCAAAACAAAGAGGCAACTTGATTTTGTATTTTATTCGAAGGACAGTTACATTAATGGCTAGCGGGGAAAATAGCATGAATATAATCACAAAATAGAGCCTGGGAGAAAGATGGTGTAATTAGGAAGCCCAGAAAAGGATGAAGGCAAATGGGTTAAGGCTATTGATAGCTCAAAAGGGCTACATTGAGCAAATGTAATTCATTTTACTTAACTGGATGCCTGTAGGCTGTGCCTCTATGTGGTGAATATTCTCTCAGGTGAGTATATATCCAGGTAAAATAGACCTGTGTGTCTCAAAGTACCTGAATCAGAAACTTAAGGCATGGGTGTGTATGTGGGGTCTTAGAACCTGAATTTTTAACACCATTTCACCCCATTTCAGGGCACCTGGAAAGATGTTGCTGATGGTGATGATAATGATGATGAAGATGATGATGGTGATGAAGAAGCTAATTTCAAATTCTTACTATGGTCCAGCATACTAGGCTTCAGTTATTCATCAGTATTGCAAAACTGGTGACATGGATAAAAGCCACGCACCAAAAAATTATTCTACATATAAATGAACTATCCGTCACCATCATAGACTTATAGCTCGTGTAGGTAAAATTGTTCCTTTGGGTCTGTGTGGATGCTTTAAATTTCAGTATCAGCTCATCACTCCACTTATTCACATCTCCAAGGCCATCAGTTATAATAGGGTTAGGTGCACTTCTAAACCTAAGTCTGGATCAGCGGGTTGTTTACCCAACGCTGCCCACTCCATTGTAAACAAGACGAAATATTCTTACTCACGGAGGAGTGCCAGATTCTTTCTAAAGCCAGAACGCCTGGAAATCTAGAGAAGATCCTGCAAGAATGTCATATTTTTAGCAGCTGCTACATCTTAAGTGCCTTGCAAATGTCATTACTGTCTCAGACCCCGGTTATTCATTAACTCCTTGCTGTGCCTCGGCTGAAAGTCTTTGCAGAGCGCTCCATATATTTCCTATTCAAAGTCATTTAAATCTTTATGTACTTACCCGATAGGCAAAGACTGTTTCATGGAAATTTTAACCATTCATGGTGCATAGATGTAAAAAGGTATAGAGTGCAGAGACCATGCTCTATACAAAAGTATGCTTGGCCACACGCTGGAAGTCTCTGGGTTTCACTACGTCACCAATGAAAAGAACACTGCACTACAATGAGACCCAACTGTAGCGCCATGCTGCCCACCGTGGACTTACTCTCTTGTGTCTACCTTCTAGTCATGTGACCCTGGCAAATGCTGCTCATTGCAGACTTACTCTCTTGTATCTACCTTCTAGTCATATGATCTCTGGCAAATGATGCTCTTCCCTATTGCTCACCTTCCTCATCCATCAAGCCAAGTGGGTCATGCATCACCAGGCCTCCATCAGAGGTTTTTTGTGAAGAACTCACGGTGTCTCGCGCCAAGTACACAAAATGTACTGCACACAGGTATTTTTAGCCTTTCTCTTTCTCTCTCTTTCTCTGAATCAGGGGTCTCGCCATATAGCCCAAGAAGGCACCAAAATTTCCATCCTCCTGCCTCAGTCTCTCCAGTGCCAACATGATCAGTTACCTTTTAGAGTGTTTTTTTTTTCTAGTTAAATACACAAAACATGAGGTGGGATTTTTTTGTTTTGTTTTGTTTTTGCTGGGCTAAAAGTGTTTAACTTCTTTCCTTTTTCTGATGGTTACTGATAATCAAAACTCTAAATGTTTACAAATATATTTGAAATTCAACCAAACTCACTGTTTCATGTTATTTTTTTTTCTGCCTAAACATTCTACTGAAAAGACACGGAGATAGTAAGCTCAGAGGTTTAAAAAGACGGAATCGTAGTATTTTCCTGGTTGCTCACACACTTATACACACTTCTCCTTTTCACTTTCACGAAGAGATAATGATCAATAGTCAAAAATCCCAAACCACATACATTCTCAAAGAAAATATGCAAGCAACACATATAAAATTGATGTATGTGTATGACAATTGTATTTGCTGAAGACATGTAGGAATAAATACGTTGAATCTAAGTAGCGAGGAGGTACACTCTTAGGAACAACATAGAAAACTGTGTGGGGCTGCCTGGGTGGTTAAGAACCCTGGCTGCTCTTGCAGAGGACCTGGGTTCAGTTCCCAGCATCTGCATGGCATCTCTCAACCCACTGTAACTCCAGTTCCAGGGGATCCAATGCCCCCTTCTGGCTTTTACGGGAACTGCATCATGTGATGTACATAAATACACTCAGGCGAGCTACAAACAAAATAGAAATAACAGCTCTTTAAAACGTGTCTTTTAAAAAAATCTGTTTAAGAGATGCCAGATGACCAGTTTTTTTTTTTTTTGTAAGAAGAGGAGGGAAGGCTAGCAAGTACACTTTTAATACAAGTCTGCTGCCATGTTTGAACATCAGCACCGCTGAAGCCTGCTGGGACAGGAGCATGTCCAGTGGTGGTGCCTCTGGCGGGGATCTTACCTTGCTCCAGAGTCCCAGGGCTGTAGGAGTCCTGCAGCTCCTGTGGGATCCCACCCACATAGACAGGGGAATCCACCCGCAGAGTCTGGGCTGCAGCCTGCAAGGCTGGCTCCAGGAGCCCAATCCTGCGAGCTGCCACCACGGAGCCTTCCTTTTTGATAAGACTATTCCAGACTCCATTACAACAGGCCGGTCCCCACCAGGGATCCACTTGTGTGAAGATAAGACTGGATTTTAACGGGAATCTGAGCAGCCTGCTCCTCAGTTCCATCTGCATATCATATTAAAAAAAAAACATCAAAAAGCGTCAGCAAGGCAGCTTAGAGAAGAGCAGAAGGTCGGTTTCCCGAGGAAAAGCACAGCGCTCTCCTGAAGGCACTCAATAAGCCCTTCTACTTTGTCCTATGCAGGACTGAAGTAATGGATAATGAAATACTTTGCAAGCTTACAATTGGCATGAAGAATGTGGTATTGAGTCAAACGAATTCATACCCAGTAATGATTATTCTACACAGTATGCTGTTGTGGAGGCAGCAGCGTTTTGTCTAACGTAGTTAACAGATTAAATCCTACTCCAAATGACTGGCGAACTGGAGAGGAGAACACTATGAACTATGACTCCATCCTGGAGTTCTTAGAAAATGAGAAAATACGACTGCATGTATCAATTTAATTTGGGGGAAAAATTTGACAAGACAATAAGAAAATGAAATGTCAAGCTTGATGAAGCTTGTTTTAAATGGTTAGTGAACTCAATTTCAAATTTGTAAGATATATTTTGATTCAATGTTTCAGTTTTATTCTGAGTCTCTAGCATAATTGCCTCCATGTGTATTCTTTTAGATTAATGCGCCATTTTCTAATGTCAGCATATTTTACCCAAATTTTCAGTGTGAGGGAAAATATTCATATGTTTTCCCTTAAAATGCTACATGATAATTATTTTACCTACCATTTTTTTAAATTTTGTTTTAGGTGTGAAATCAGCTGCCGTACTTGTTGAAAGTTTTAGCTCAGCATGTTAAATAAATAAATTAAATCTTGCTGGGAGAAGAATATGTCTCCTATGTAGACATCCTTATGCTGCATCCCCAGCAAGCAAACATTGCCCTTCATTCAGTTAGCATGAAGACCAACAGCTCCCTAAAATCCCACAGATGGCAAAGGAGCGTTCTGGGGGCACTCCTGTAGCCAAGACAGTGATGGAATACCACATGAACAGCGGACATATGAGCCACCCACTTCCCAAGAGTCAAGGAAGATTTGGAGGAGCAGAGGTAATGGATCCACGGATAAACCACTTGCCACACAAGGGTAAGGCTCAGACTTGGGATCCCTGACCAGGTAGCAGACAATCCCATCACTGGGGAGGAAAAGACCAAGGCTCTCCGGAGCAAACTAGATATTTGGACTGACTGAATTGATAAGCTTTGGAGTGAGCAGAAGACCCTGTCTCAATAAATACAGTGGAGAGTAAATCTAGAAAGAAATTTGACGTCAAACTTGGGATACCATATGCATACATACATGTGAGTACTCATATAAGTACACCCACATACATGTTCATGCCCACACATGTAAGCATACATTCACACATAGGTGAATAACACACACACACACAAACACACACACACACACACACACACACACACAATTTAGAGTAATATAAGGTGCATGGTCCCTTCCAAGCAGGGGTAGATATGTGCAAGACAGAATCCATCAGGTTTAAAGAGAGGTTACAATTCAGGAAAGACAAAGCAGTGGGTGGCAGGGAGAGCATCACTCAGACTGTAGACATAGATTTTGGATGATTTGGAATGACATGAGAAAGTTCATCTTTCCTTTGTCTGACACCAAAGGCTACGGTTTGTACTGACTCATTTTATATCAAGTTCATCTTCTTGGGCATAGGAAGCATTCGTCAGAAACTGGGATCAATAAAACATTGAAAGCCCTTAAATGAGCACAAATAATAATGGCAACCAGGGAGTCTCTAAGAAGTATTTCCTAGAGTAATGCATGAGAGCAGGGTGGCCAGTACTGAATGCACTAGGTACCAATAGGTGAAGTATCCACACTGGGAAACGGTCATGTGCTGCTTGACTATACCCAGAAGCTGGCTAGGGAAGCAGGGTTGTCCCACCCATTTCTGACACAAGCATGTTTGTCTCCAAGTGTCATCAGAACTCTTGTCTGAGGACAGGTTGGGCTGCCCAACTCTGTGACAAGGTCAGGAGTGAAATCAGCATGTCCTTCAGCAGCAGAAGATGAACTATTATTATCATGGGATGAACTATTGCTCATCCCATGATAGAAAGGCACCCACAGTGGGAAGGAGAGGCCAGAAGTTGGGGGTGGGAAGCTTATCCATGCAGAAAAGGCTTAATTGAGAACCCTAGGTGATCTCCTCACCTTCCCCACTCAGTCTCTGCAGGCCGGCCTGACTACCAACTTTGATAAGTTTACCTTTGTACTCTTCTTTGCTCTTTAACTAGAAGTCTTGCCCCAGGGATATCCTGCTCTGAGCAGGCCTCACTGGGACTCTGGTTGAAGACCTCAATGGGACTTTGTCAGGTGATTTCTGTCAGGAGTTGTCAAGCACTCAATTTGAAAGTGTTACTGTCAGACGGGAGGCGGTGGCGGGGAAGAGACAGAAATCTTTAATAAATAAATGAATTAAAAAATTAAAAAAAATAAAACACAGAGGAAGATGGACACTTGAAAAAAAATGAAAGTGTTACTGTCTGTCTGTCTTTCTGCTACTTGCTATCCATCCTTTTACTTGGTATGTACTTAAGAAACTCCCTCATTTGGAACCCAAAGCATATCTATGGTAGTTCATCCAGCAGACTGGATAGAAGTGGGAAACAGCAAGGACCTGTTACTATTGATGTGATTGCACCAAATCACCAGTGCTGTGTGTGCAGGTGGAAGCATGTCCAGGGCTGATCATGAGTGCTCTGACCTTGTCCATGGTTTAACCCACTGGGTTAAAAGTCTGAACTGAGAGGCTGGAGAGAGGCCTAAAGGTTCAGAGCATCGGTTGCTCTTGCAGAAGACCTGGGTTCAATTCCCAGTACCTACATGGTGGCTCAGAAACATCATTTACTTCAGTTCCTGGGTACATTTTTTACCTCTTCTTGGTTCTAGGTGCTTGCATACATGTGGTGCACAGACGTACATGCAGGCAAACACCTGTGGTGCATAGACATGCATGCAGGCAAAGTACATAAAATAAATATAAAAATAAAATAAAATACATGCACATAAATAAAAATAACATAAAAAAACCAGAGCAGACTATGGGCTAGTTTTAGGATGTGTATTGTTGGGAGTGTGTTTCTGAAGGGCACCTGTTTCCCTAGCCCATCCCTGTTTTCCCTCTGTCAAAACCCCAACACTCCCCTTTGCTTCATGTAGCAGAAGCTTCTGGAGCCTGCTCCTATCATCACTGATTTTACTGAAAATGCCAAGGACTACAGAGTTAAATATCTGAACACATCAGCTAAAATAGGTCCTTTCCTTTGGATCCTGTCAGGTGTTTGGTCAAACTGACACAAACACAAAGGCTATGACATCTCTGATCCTTTTGGTGTGACCAATGGGAAAAGGTTAACCTTTATCACCATAAGAACAGCAAATGCAAAAGCAGACTTGCCAGAAGGGGCTCACGCTGTCAATGACAGAGTTCAAAACATTCAGAGAGCACCAGGAGAAATGTTCTGGAAGAGGTAACAAATGAACACATGTGGATTTGGGATAGGACAGTGAAGTGCAGAAAGAACTCATAGCTGTTGTGACAACTCCCCAGCACTTCACTAAGTTAGCAATAGCATCTGATTGGAAGACTACAGCAAATGCAAAGCTGGTATATAATCTCAGTGCCCTTAGGGAAACAGCTCATACCAACCTTATTCACCATAGCAGAGACGTTGAAATAACCGATGTGCTACTGGTGAGAGGCATAGTATGCAGCCCTGCAAAATGGAACACTTCCTTGGAAAATACAAAAAATCTAGACTACAGTGACTAAATACAAATTCCTTATAATATATTACATATCAATTTCATAAATCCCCAAGTTTGTAGCACTCATTCACATATGTTAGTCAAACTATAAAAGGCAAACCAATAAAAAACACAAAATTATCATTACATATTGATTCTGGTTAGAGTTGGGGAAATAGAATAGAAGCCATAAAAGGATGATAATTGAGTCCTCAGATGGAGTGGTGCTCATTAGCATTCATCGTATTGTGCTTTATCAGACACTGAATGAAATACATACAGTACATTTTGAATCTATATCAAAAGATAATGAAGAGGTATTTTTCATGTATCAAGAAACTAAATTGGATTTTCTTAATTCTTAACATCTGCTCTGTTTTGTTCAATTCACAACGCTTATAGTACTAATTGTCAGTTTAACAAATTGTCTTAACCCTATAAGACACTTCACAGACCTATAAAAATAAAGACTACTTGAGGAAAAAATGAAAATAAAAGTGAATTTTACAAATTCAATTGTGTCTAGTACTAACATACAATTTATCTCTTTCAAGCTGGACCTGATAATTTAAAAACAAATTTAATTAAATTCATTAATGTGCAGCAAGAAAATCTGGTCCCTCTTTGTTATGAATGAAAAGGAGCAATCCATTTAGTTGGTTAGTTTGAAACTTCAGGGGAATCTCAAAGTCCTTTCCAGCATGAAATGTATCTGATGGAAGCTCCAGGAATCCTTCAAGATAAGAGCATATGCACGCTCCCATCAACATACTGCAGGCACTGTAAGAGTATGGCGAACATCTGGGAATAGTACCAACTTTGTTTAGAAATCCCACAAAAGAGTAGACAGATAAGGGTTATGACATCCCTTCTGCTGTCTGGTGGAGGCTGTGAGATGAACATCACATCCCTTTGAAGAGGAAACAGAATGCTTCGTCAACCACACACTCATGAACATCCCACATGCTGAGCAGCCTGACGGAGCAGTGACCAGACTCTGGGCTAAGACAGGCTAGGACTGCCATCTTCGGTGGAAAATGGACAACATCACTGCTGTTGTGTTCTGTTCCAAACAGTCTAAGCACTTTATAGCCAGTCAACTTAAAGAGATGGGATGTTGTTGTAAGGAGGCTGCTTGTTTGTTTCCCAGCCACCCGGCAGCTCAGACCCAAAATAACCACACAGAAACACTGTTTGTCCCATTAGCTCTAGTTTCTTATTGGCTAACACTTATATCTTAATTTAACCCTTCTCCATTAATCTGTATATTGCCATGAGGCTGTGGCTTACTGGGCAAAGTTCCAGCATCTGTCTCCGGCAGGGCTACATGGCTTCTTTCTAACTCCTCCTCCTTCTCCCAGTATTCAGCTTAGTTTTCCCCACCTAACTAAGTCCTACCTTGTTGTAGGCCAAGCCAGTTTCTTTATTCACTAACCAATAAAAGCAACACATAGACAGAAGGGCCTCCCACACCAGTGGAAGGGTTAGGATTGTGTTTATTGAGGAATAGTCTCCATTGGTCATGCCACACTGTTCCTTTCTAGGGCCATGCCATAGGGTGGGATGTACACAGAGATGAGTGTGAAGGAAGTGACAGGTATGTTTTCTCCAGCCTCTACAGTGGTAGCCCTCAGAACCAGCTGTCCCTCAGAGGCCTGCCTTAACCCCATTCCCGGCTTTAAAGACAGACATGGCTCAAGTATATAATAAGGGAAATGGGGATGCTAGTCATCCTAACAACAAAAACTCCTTGGTGACCATTTTCACAGTAACCTGCAGGCTGACATCTGCCCCTTGATTTATACATGGGCACTAGGACAGTCACATATAAGCCAAGAACTCTGGGGCCCACCAGAGCTGTCACTCATAAACACATACCATGAATCTTAACAGCTATATTTCATGTTCATACTTTGCAAATGCGTGTAGACTTCTACATACACATTTCGGCAATATACTCATTAAAGTAAACTGGATGGATGAGGTAAAGTTAGTCAAAGACAAGAACAAATGCACTCCTGTCATTTGGCTCCTGAATGTCCTCAACTTTTTCAAAAAGGTGTTACAGGAGAACCTTTGGACTGACAAGGAGGCACTAGAAGGGGAGGGTGGCCTCTCCTCCTTTTCTCTTCTGCTCATCGGCAATGAGTGATTTCACAGGGTCACATACTCCCACCTGTATGCTGCCTCCCCTGGACGGTCAGAAGCCACAAGGCTAACCATGCACTGAGACCTGGAAGACTGAGAGCCAAAATTAACCTTTTACCTTCTCACGTCAACATTCCCAGATATTCTGTGATTGCGACAGAAAGTTGATGAATGTATACTCAGGTTGCCTGGTTAAACAAAAAGTACCTTTACCCACTGAGCCATATTGTCAACCTTTTCCCCTGCCTTGTGGTAACTTTAATTAGTTTCATTTTAGAGTATGTTTTTGTTATTGCGTACTAAAAGTAGGGAGTGTGTGTGTGTGTGTGTGTGTGTGTGTGTATGTGTAAACTTGACACAAGTTAGAGAAACCTAATAGGAGGAATCTCATTTGAGAAAAATGCCTTCATAACATTGGCTCATAGACAAGCCTCTTTTCTTGTGTAACACTTAATGTGGAAGGACCCCGCACATTTTGGATAGAAAAAGGTGCCAGTTGGTTAGCCACCATACGGGTGCTAAGAATAGAATCCAGGTCCTCTGAAAGAGCAACCAATATTCTTGGTCACTGAGTCTCTCTCCAGCTCCAGCATATTAATCATGGAACTTTTTGGATTGGGTTGGGACCATTTGCCTGTAACCTCTTTTGTGACCCCCGCGATGACCGGTGTATTGACTCTTACAAAATATGCTCTGAATGTCCCTCAGACTTCTGAGAGTCAAATTTTCCATTCATGTATCATTTCCAATGAATTAAAAGTCTTAGAAAAATATTTACACACATCCTGCAATTATACGAACCTCACTTAATTAGTATATGTCAGTTTGGTAAGAGCCTAATGCATCTCTGGAATAACAAGAACTAGGTATTGACAAAGTAAGTAAAACCACGGAAGGCGGTCTCAAAGGGGAGGGGCCCATAAATTAACACGCGTGTGTAGAAAATGTAAATAATACCCATTCATACTTTTAAGTTCTGCAAATAGATTAGTTTTGAGTACAACATTATGGCAGTTGGTTTTAATTGTCAACTTGATTCAACCTAGAATCTCCGGGTAAGAGTCTCAGTGAGTGACTATCTAGAGTGTCAGGAGCCATTTTCCCAAAGATTATAGCAGGGACTATCGTCCTAAGGATGTCTGCAGGGAGCCCCACACCCAACTATCTTGAAAACTATCTGTTAGCAGAACCCACCCCATAGTCCAACTATCTAGAGAATTGTTTGTGGTTGGAATCACAAAAGGAACTATTCCGCTTGCATAGAGAACACTAGGTGTGTTGACTTGTGACCTTTGCTGCCCCGGCAAGGTCCCTTCTTGCCCTTGCCATGCTCTGGCCCCCATCCCAAGCCAAATTCCTCATTCAAAGGCTGTGTAAGCCACAACCGTTTCACTATTAAAGTGAGACCTTGACAACAGAATCTTGCTTGGTCTCCTACCTGTCTCCCACCCCTGTTCTTTCAGATAGCGCCTCTTCAGACCCTGGAATAACTGGACCCGCTGGCTTTCAGGCTCATCTGTAGCGGGACAGTCTTGTTTAAGGAATTGATACTTGATATGGGAAAACCTAGCCCACTGCGGGCATTGCTGTCCCTGGGTTTGAATCCTCACTGTGTAAGAGTGGAGAAGGTGAGCCAAGTAGTGAGCAGGTATGGACTCATTCTCTACTCTTGATGTAAATGTGACCAACTACTTCAAGTTCCTATCATGACTTCCCTATGGTGATGGAATTGAACTGCAATCTGAACAAACCCTTTCTTCCTTAAAGTTGTATTGCTGGGGTCCACAGAAAAGAAGCTGAAATATCTACTTCCATGCCCTGTGAAACTGACCGAGCCTCTCTCAGAGGATGGTGTGATCTCTTAGCAGACTACCTACAAAGAGTCTGCCTGTAGCCACCCATCATGGTGCTGCCTTTCAGAGAAGCCGAGGAGTCTGTAGGACAGGAGAAGAGAATTACAGGTTTCTCAGGGGCCTACAGAGTGAAACACATCACAGATCTTTGGCACCCAGCTCTCTTGCCTCTGCTTTAGCCTCCTTGTCTATCAGGGCCCTGATAAGCCAGTTGCTGCAAGCCCACAAGTCGTTAGCAGCCCCGTCCCTTCCTCTACCACACTGACCTCCTTGTTAGTCCTAACATTAACATAAAGTACTTTCATATCCCCAGGGCCTACTGCCCACTGATCCCTTGGTCCTGGCCTCATATCCAATGATTCTTGACCTGAAACCGATTTCCTTTTAGATATTTTCACGGTTCCTTTCCTGGCCTCACATTTCCCTACTCAAATGTTAGTAAAAAGTCCTTCCCCAGTAACACTGGGTCAAATCTAACACACTTGTCACTACACAAACCCTTTTTTAACAAAGGCCCAATGTCAATTAGCTGTGAGCTTCTAGAAACCGGGCTAGTGAGTGCCATAGGGGGCATCCAGAATGTTCCTCAGCATTCTTACAGGGTAAATTAGGCTGGGTTTCCCATTTTTCTCAGTTTTCCATTGAGGTTAAAGTCTTACCAATACAGATAGCAGTCACCTATCCCGTGTTTATGTTCTCATAACCCTCTACTACTTTATTCTTTATTAACTCTGTCCCTACCTCCATCAAATCACATCCTCTACAAAGCTCTGTTTACTCTTTGTTATCGAAGCACCTAGAACACTAGTAGAACACAGTAGGAACTCTCTAAAATCACCTTTACCCTACATGAATGAATGACAGCCTACATCAGTGGATGAAAATGGATGACAGAGTCAGCTGGAAAGAGAACCACACTCAAAGCAAACACCAGGTATGAGGCTACCCACTGCAGAAATGACGGCACTTACTTACATTGCTGAGTCGTTGTTTTTCTCATCTCTGTGTGGATATCTGCTTTCCTCCTTGCCTTCTGGAGGCAAAGGGGAACATTCATAAGGTAATTAAAGGCCCTTGTGAGGTGTGGGGAATGTAGGAGATGCAGAATGAACACTGGTGACTTTGTTCCCATCTCTGCTTTCCTGGAGTCCTACCTGGAAGAGAAGCTTGTGGCCTGCATTTACTAGCAGAAGAGCAAAGAGCAGCTAAGAGACAAATTCCATTGGGAATGGAGAAACCAATTTGAAATTCATATGTGCTGATGTATATGTGAGTGCACGCGTGCACACACACACACACACACACACACACACACACACGCTCTCACCTGTGTGCTGTCCATCAAGATTGATTTGACCAAAAGCCTGATGCAATGATTTCTTGCCACTGGCCATCACTGTATTGTTTACCATGGTCAATGGTTGTGGTGACTCCAACAAATGATCCCTTAAGAGAATGAGTGAGCAAATGAATTAATGAATGCTCACATCGAGGTGCCAGTGACACTGTCTATTTTTTAAACCTGTCCACAGTTTTCAGCATTGTGATCCCAACACAAAGAAACTGCTCTTTCAGAAGGAACTTGATGCGCAAGCTGCATCTAGCGATAGCTGTGATTACCCTGTATACATCTGAAAACCACAGTCCCCATATGGAAGGACCCCTCTGGACAGGAAATCTCTGACTAAGGCACTCGCATGTTGGGTATCTATGTTCATATTTGAACATTCATAGAGGACTTGTAAAGAAGAGAAGAATTTAAAACTGAGAAAAGTTGTGAATATATAGCCTAAAGATAAACAAGCATCAGGAAAATTAGCTTCTTGTCACTAATAATTTCATAATATGCACTGTAAAATGGGATGGGAAATGAGTTGTGTTAAAATGAAGTATTTATTGAATGCATGTGTGTAATTTGGTTTTCAGTGCTTTGTACTCTAAAGTCTAGCACGTATACCATGGTAGGATAATAATAGCACAGTGAATGGCAGATACAAAGAGGAAAGAGTAACGAACAGGCAAGGAGAAAGAAGCAATGAAGAGAGAGAGAGAGAAAAAACAAACAGTCCTCCCTAGCACGCTAGAGTTAACAGCCCATCTAGCACATTAGAACAAACAGCCTGCCTGGCATGTTAGAACAAACAGCCCACCTAGCACCTGAGAGCCATGGTAACACAATTTCAATGTATAAGTCAGAATAAATAGAAGAAACTCCATCCCCATTAACCAACATTTAGCAGCAGATTCTTCCAAACCTAAGGAAGATAAATTTAATATCAAAGTTGATTTACCTGAGTAAGAATCAAATATGAAGTTGATGGATGTTCTTAGAATCTACAAGCAAGGTTGGTTTCAACAGTCCATACTTTAAAAACTAATCTGCAATCAGGACTGAAGGGATGACTCTGGAGTTAAGAGCACTGGCTGCTTTTGCAGAGGACCTGGGTTTGATTCTCAGCACCCACACGGCAGTCCACAACCATGTATAACTCCAGTTTGGGGGGAATCCATCCCCCTCTTCTGGCCTCCCTCAGCACTGCACACATGGTACACAGACACATGCAGGTGGACACCCATACACATAAAATCCAAATAAGTATTTTTTTCAAAAGATTACCTAGAATGTTTCATCAAACTCTAACAATTTTGTTCAACTGTTTTTCATGAGGGGAAAATCCTGGCAATTCTCTAACGTAATAGATTTAGATGGCACAGCACACGACATTAACTCTAGCTTCGTATATGAAATATTTTCTGTTTGCATTTCCCCAAGAATAGAACATGTCCATTTCATGCATCTAATTGGCTCTTGTCAGTCCTCACAATATACTTGGCAACACACATGATGTATAGACTCTCGGGCTACCAGTGTTAACAAAACAGCAGTACCAACTACAACAGCCAGAAAGAGCTTTTCATTTCCCCCAGCACACAGTTGCTTCTCACACGGACGGAACCCCAGCTCATGTAGATAATCTGGTCAGCGAGGCACATGACCACTTCCAAAGTTATCTCTAGTCCTAGATCTTCCTTCTTCCTTTCTCTTTTTTCCCCCTACATATTCCTTTATTTTTCCCCAACTCTATTTCAACATTTTAATATTTTACAAACACACATTTCATTATCATAGTTTAATAATTAAAACCAGAACTGGTGTCGTGCCCAATTAATGTGCCCTGGTAGCATGCCCATTAGTTTTTCCATTAGTGAATTCAACAATACTAATGGGATTACTAGCACGGGATGCTAATTGGGTGTGACATAAGAAACTGGCTTACTTCTGAGCATACCCTTGCTAATGATGAAATTAATGAGCATTTTATTAAACGCTGTCTCATCAAAGTGTACTTAGTTAGCGTTAAAATTGTTACAAACGGTTCTGCATTTTAAAGATCAGGTGTCTGAGGCGAGGCTCCGCACATTTTGTTTGGCAATAGTCTGCAGCAGGGATGGTTCTTGTCATCAGAACTCTGCATACCGACTGGATGCAGATCCTCTGAGGTATCCTGCAGCAGAGCACACCACACTTGCCCTCGGTCTTAGAGGAACTTCTCAAGGCCTACTCTGATGAGGATGCCAATATCCGCATGATAATAATTCTGCAGTCAGGTCCAGTACTGCACACGGAAAACATTGGGTGTGGCAGTTAGACTCTGTTCACGGTTATTTGAGAGTTTTGTTTTCAAAGGCTCCTCGTCTGCGAAGACAGAATGTTCTGTGTCTTTTCTGTGAATGTCACTGTGTATGGAATAGTGAAGGGACCAGCTGGGTCAAATTGGGCAATAAAATATCCACTCATCAAACCTATACAAAACTGGAGTAGCCAAAGCAACAAATAGAATGCTGTATCTATTTTAGAGACTCAATGAAACTATAGAAATTAAAGCTGCAGTCAATTTCTCAACTTCAACCCTTTTAAGCTTGATTTTTGTTATTTTAAAGTGAGTGTGTGTGGGTGTGCACATGTGATGTGGGAGTGATTTCTTATTAATAAAGAAACTGCCTAGACCCATTTGATAGGCCAACCCTTAGGTAGGCGGAGTAAACAGAATGGAATGCTGGGAGAAAGAAGCTGAGTCAGGGAGTCGCCATGATTCTCCCACTCCAGACAGACGCAGGTTAAGATCATTCCTGGTAAGCCAGCTCGTGGGCTACACAGATTAATAGAAATGGGTTAGATCAATATGTAAAAGCTAGCCAATAAGAAACTGAAACTAATGGGTCAGGCAGTGTTTAAAAGAATACAGTTTCCGTGTAATTATTTTGGGTAAAGCTAGCCGGGTGGCGGGACACAGCCCGCCGCTCCGTACCACAACAGAATGGCGCCCGACGTGATGGACTAAATCCACTTAAAAACCTAAAAAGGCTTAAAAATAAGGGAGAGAGACTTTAACACAGATTTTTGCTGTTTGTTGGTGGCGTGCTGTAGAGAGATTTCCTGATTCGGCAACAGCAGCAGAAAAAAAAGCTGCGTCATTTTAAAGTGCGGCTTCTTGGGACTGTGCCGCCAATGCAAACTCTGGCTTTAAAGCATTTCAATGGATTTTATGGGACTGGATGTTTGTGTTCCCGCTTGGGATCAGAAGGAGAGTGCTCTCAGCGCTCCCCGCCTGCACCTGGGCAGATGGCAGAATCAGGCTTAGGCAGGCGGAAGAGCATGGTGGAAGAGACGTGTTTTCAGACTGCGCAGTGCTCTGCGTGTCAGATTTGGTTGTAACTTGGATAAAAAGAGTTTCTGTGCTGCATGCTCAGTCTCAAAATTAAACTACTGAGTGCAGCTCCAATGAGGACTTGCTGTGTGCCTGGAACTGTGCACAGCTCAGGGGCACCAAATGGATCTGAGGCAGGAGCGGCTGCTCCTTGCTGAACTGTGCTGGTTGGCAGAAACTACCGTAATTACCATAATAACAGCACAGTTAAGGTTTAGACTGGGCAGGACACAGGTGGTACAGTATTACCTGTACATGGTACAACTTAAGTTTTTAAGAAGTGCTTAACATTTTAAGAAATGCTCCTGGATAGTAAAAATATTACAGATTCACAATAAAACAGATTCAGACATAACAGACCTCAGTGGATCACAGTGTTGGATGAATGTACATAGGCTTGAGAGAGAGAAGAATAAGAATATAGAGAATAAAGTAAATGTCTTAAAAAAAGGGTAAAGTCTTTAAAGAGACAGAGTACAGATAGTTAAGAGATTAAAAAAAATAAAGAAAAAATAAGCCACGTAAAAATGGAAAATTCACAGAGAGTCTGGATTATGTACATTGTGCTTTCTTTAAAATTTTTGACTGTAAAGGAGCTAAGTACAGAGAGACATTTCATTACATGGGCTGCTAAGCTAAACCAGAATGGATATAAGGGTATTACGATTTCAAAATTTGGGTTTAAGAATATGATGCTTTGGAGAGGGTCTTCTTTTGTTTTCACAGAGGACCAAACCCTGTGGATTTCTTCTATTACAATTTGGTATGATAGACCACGCCCTCCTGAAAGGTTGTTGTGAACATCTTCAGAAAATTGCTTCGCTCAACTGCCAACTGAGATGAAACTAGCACACAGGTTATACCATGAAAGACCTAATTAACGACGCCCCCATTCAGCAGGAAGCAGTTTGGAGAGAAAAAACGGCGCCCATGTTCCCAAAATATTGTTTGTAAATGTTCTTTTACATTTAAAGGGGGAAATGATATAGGTATGAGTAATTTGCATTGGTGTGGATTTTACAGTCAATTTTGTTATATGTATATGTATTTCTGATCTTGATTAAGGTATTGTGATTGTGTAGTTCATTTAAAAATGTAATGTATAATTAAGAACTATAGGTTAATGGTTAATCATCAATAATAGTCAAGCTTGTAGTCATGTTAGTTAGATTTTCTAAATATATAGAGATACATTTCAGTTAGAGAGACATTCTTCATATCTTTCAAAGACTGCAGGATATGGCATTTAATGTTTTAATAACTTAGGACTTTTCATGACAATGAGACATATCTGCTCCTGGTGGCACCAATCTACTTCGAGAGGAAGATGGGCATCGAAGAGGATCCTTATGGAGTTTGATAGCCATTTGGGCAAGAAACTGCTCTTGCCTGGACTGTTGCATAAAATGGACACAGAGAACCCGCAGAGAGAGGACTGCTGAACTTGCCTAAAGGTGAGATGGTCTTTTGGGGTTCATGACTCATGAAAGAGTCTGCGAGACATTCTGCAGGACACAGCAGATAGTGACTGAACTGTCTTTGAAATTTCCTGCTTCATGGAAATGTCTGCTGGATACTATGGGCCTGAAGGCTGAAGATGGATGCCCCAACCATACAAAAAAACTTTGGGTGACTATCCAGGCAGCAAGATGTCTCTGTCATTTCTAGAGTTTTCTTATTTCTTGTTTACTTAGGTAGTATTATATCCTTCTGGAGTCTTTGATGGAGTTAAAGAAT